TTTCTCTGGAAGTAGATGACATCTTCTTTTATAGGTCCTTTGTAGTTGATCCGAATATTTATAATACTCAGAATAGCTTGGTCATTCACTATTATTCTTCAAACAATATTGCTGTTATTGTATCCAGTGTTCTCTTGGTTCTGTTCATTTCATTCTTTATTATTCCATGAAAGTCTTTCCATGTTTTTCTAAAATTAACCAGCTCATCATTTCTTTTTTTAAAGTTAATTTATTTTTAGTTTTCAACATTCACTTCCATAAGATTTTGAGTTTTAAACTTTCTCCCCTTTCCTCCCCATCTCCCTCCCCAAGACAGCATGCAAGCTGATATAGGCTCTACATATATATTCATATTAAACATGTTTTCACATTAGTCATATTATAAAGAAGAATTAGAACCAATGGGAGGAACCATGGGAAAGAAGAAACAAAACAACCACAAAAAAAAAAAAGAAAGAGAGAGAGCAAATAGTAAGCTTCCATCTGCATTCAGACTCCAAAGTTCTTTCTCTGGATGTGGATAGCATTTTCTATCATGAGTCTTTTGGAATTGTCTTAGATACTTGCATTGCTGAGAAGAGCCAAGTCTATCAAAGTCAGTCATCACCCAGTGTGGCTGTTACTGCATACAAGGTTCTCCTGGTTCTGCTCAGTTCACTCAGCATCAGTTTATATAAGTATTTCCAGGTTTTTCTGAAGTCCACCTGCTCATCACTTCTCATAGCACAATAGTATTCCATTACATTCATATACCACAACTTGTTCAGCCATTCCTCAATTGATGGACATCCTCCCAATTTCCATTTCTTTGCCACCACAAAGAGAGCTCTTATAAATATTTTAAACATATAGGTTCTTTTCCTTTTTCCTTCATCACCTTGGGAAATAGACCTAACAGATTGGGTCAAAGGGTATACACAGTTTTATAACTCTTAAGGCAAAATCCCAGATTGCTCTCTGAAATGGTTGGCTCAGTTCACAGTTCTGCCAACAGTGTATTAGTATCCCAATTTTTCCACATCCCTCCAACATTTGTCATTTTCCACTTCTATCATTTTAGCTAGTCTGACAGGTGTGAGATAATATCTCAAAGATATTTTAGTTTGCATTTCTCTAATCAACAATAATATAAAACATTTTTTTCATATGACTATATATAGCTTTGAATTCTTTATAAAAAAACTGCCTATTCATATCCTTTGGCCATTTATCATTTGGGGAATGACTCATATTCTTATAAATCTGACAAAGTTATCTATATATGAGATATGAGCCTTTGTCCAAGAAACTGTCTATAAATCTCCCCCCAAACCCCAATTTTCTATTTTCTTTCTGATCTTGGCTAGAGGTTTTTTTTATTTGTATAAAACCTTTTTAATTTAATGTAATCAAAATTATCCATTTTATATCTCACAATGCTCTCTATAGCTTTAATGAGGTCTAGAGGTTTAGGGGTGCTAGGACCCCAAAATCACGACATGCGGGTCCTGTCCGAAAGAATTCAATGCAAGCCTTCTTTCAGCCAAAGACAAGGTTTATTAAAGATCTACCCACTATATATTAGCTAGACTCTTAAGGAATCTGAGCACCAGTGAGCTATTGGCTAGATTGTAAAAGTCTGAGCATCTTAGTGGAGACAAGATGGATTTTATATACAGAAAGACTATGGGAGGGATCTAGGAGTGGTCAAGTAGTCTATGAGGTAATGGAGCTCCAAGGACCTGGACCACAAGGCCAAGGGAGAATGGAGCCTAAATAGGATTAAGGGTGGGAAGTGGCCTGGGGCCATAGGGAGGTAAGACAATGGAGAGCTAGGCTAGGTTAAGGATAAGAGAATTGGGAGATTGGGTGTAGCCACAATGAAAGGCCTCAGGCTAAGGCCAGAGATTTGGCCAAGCAAAGAGGGAAAGTCCAGGGTTTTTCCTTTCTAGGGTCCAGATCCCATCCTCATCAGCTTGCTTATTCATAATTTCTTCACCTATCCATAAGTCTAGGTAATATGTTCCAGGTTCTTCTAATTTACTTATGATCTCCCCCTTTATGTCTAGGTCATGTATCTATTTTGACCTTATCTTGGTAAATGGTGTAAGATATTGGTCTATACCTAGTTTCTGCCTGACTACTTTTTAGTTTTCCCAAGTTTTTTTTTTTTTATCAAATAGTGAATTCTTATCCCAAAAGTTTAAATCAAACATGAGTTGACTATAATCGTTTACTACTATGTATTGTATGTCTACTCTGTTCTACTCATCCAAGTTTCTATTTCTTATCCAGTACCAGATAGTTTTAATTACTGCCTTATAATAAAGTTTAAGGTCTGGTACTGCTAGACCTTCTTCTTTTACAATTTTTTTGTGAATTCCTTTGATATTCTTGATCTCATCTAATCTACTTCTGATCACTGCCTCCCTAATCCTCTCCTTTTCTAAGAATCCTTCCCTTATCTTGTCCTCTCACCTTCCCCTTTCTTAATCTCCCCACCCTCCTAAATCTCTCCCTTACCCTCTCCCCTCTAGTCTTAATTTGCATACCCTTCTAAATTTCCCTCCCCTACCACAATCCCCTTACCCTCCTGTTTCTCTATAAATTAAGAAGACTTTTACCCTTTCTAGATGTATGTTATTCCCTATTTAATCCAGTTCTGATGAGAATAAGGTTCTAGCACTACCAGTCCTCCAACCCCCTGCTACCCTCCACTGTAACAGTTCTTCCACTCATGGCTCCTTTGTATGAGATAATTGCTCCACTTTACCTTTCAATTTTATTTTTAGGATCATCCCATCATAACCAACTCAACCCCAAACCTTCTATCTATGTATCTCTTTCAAACTACACTAGTAATGATAACATTGTTAAGAATAACAGACATTTTCCCACACAAGAAGTAAACAATTTGACCTTATTAAGTCCTTTATAATTGGTCTTTCAAATTTACCTTCTTGTGATTCTCATGATTCTTTTTTTTTTTTTAATTTTTAGGCAATTGGGGTTAAGTGACTTGCCCAGCCAATAAGTGTCTGAGGCCGGATTTGACCTCAGGTCCTCCTGACTCCAGGGCGGGTGCTCTATCCACTGTGTCACCTAGCTGCCCCAGTTCTCATGATTCTTGTAGGCCATATTTGCTGTTCACTTCTAGTCTTTTCTGAAAGATTACTGGAAAGTCCTTTAATTCATTAATTACCCCTAGAATTGAGCACATTGTCCCAGATATAGTCTGACCTGGGTAAAACACATCGATTCCTAGAAGGTATTTCTTTTCTTAATGCAGCCCAAGATCCCTTTAACTTTTTCGTTGCTATTTTCGTTGACTTATTTTAAACTCGTAGTTCACTAAGATACCCATATCTTTTTCAAACAAACTGTTGTCTAACCGTGGTCCCCACCTTGCGTTTGGGAAGTCTGTTTGAAACAGACTTATTCTGAATCATTGCAGGGCAGTGCCCACATGGATAAGAAAACTAACTCCCTGGAGGCAACATAATGTAATAGACGAATGGAATACTGGGGATTTAGCCTGGCAGCCTCTTCTGCATGTGGCGGCTACATCATAGGGACTGAAGACCCTGAAAAGTCATATCACCCAAGTCCATTTCAACATCAGAAACGGATATGATTTTATTAGTGGAACTGACATAAAGAGGCATTATCATCTGGTTTGCTGCCATATCCTAAGGACTATGGGTCTTTTCCATCTGAATCTAAACTGAAACCTTCTGTGTTGTCTTCCCCGTTAGGATGTGAGCTCCTTGAGAGCAAGAACCATCTGACTTTTCTATTTATTTGCTAAATGATTAGCACACAGTAAGAGCTTTGCACATAGTAAGTGCTTAATAAATGCATTCTTCATTAATTCATTCGGGATAAAGAAGACCTGGGTTCAAATTTTGCCCTCTGACATTGGGGCAAGTTCATTAACCTCTCTGAACGTAGTTTCTTTGTCTGTAAAATGAGGGGGTTGAATGAGCTGGGCTTTGGAGCGCCTTCCAATTCTACATCTATGGTGTCCCATCTATGGAAGTATGTGCAAGGTATTGCGGTGGGCACTGGTTCTGTGTGCTCAGTAGATGTGCAATAGATTCAATGGAATACAACCAACGTTAATAGTGTCCACAACACTGTTCTAAGTGCTTTCCGAGGTGAGCTTTTTGCTATTTGGGAACCTACTCTGTATGGTCTGACCATCCTCTTGGACTCTTTTTCATGCACTATACCAGGCACAAGTGGGACCTTAGAAACCAATAATCCCAGCCCTTTATTTGACAAATGGGGAGACTGAAGCTGAGAGAGGGGAAACAGCTTGTGTAAGGTCGCACAGCAAGTAGGCGGCAGAGCCAGAATCTTCCCCTAAGTCTTCTGCCTCCTTCTGTGGTGTGCTTGACAGGTTCTAACACATTACTTCCCAACACGTACTCTTTAGCCCAGTGACAGTGACCTCCAGGCTGCTGCTGCTGCTACTGTTGGCAGCGGATAGAGCACTGGCCCTGGAGTCAGGAAGGTCTGCGTTCAAATACGGCTCAGATACTTACTAGCTGTCTGATCCTGGTCAAGTCGCTTCCACCCTATTTGCCTCAGTTCCTCATCTGTAAAAAAGGGGACACACTGGAGAAGGAAATGGCCCACCACTCCAGTATCTTTGCCAGGGAAACCACACAGAGTCGGAGATGACTGACCAACACCTTGAGGGCAGAGATTGTGTCTTTTTTGTCTTTGTACTGGACACAGAGTGGACGCTTTGAATACAACGGAACCGGGCCTCAGTTTCCCCATCTGTAAAAATGGGTTTATCATTCTTGCGCTCCCTGCTTGTAAAGGGCTCTAGGGAAGCTGAGAAATCATTTCCTTTCTTGAGCCCCTGTCTGAGGGGAAGGGAGGGAGCTGCACTTCCCTAAGGTTACAGCCAGGTGTCCCCTTTTTTCCAAAGCCTGGACTAGGGCTGGAGGAGGGGCGAGAGGCGGACCCGGTCCGGCACAGCCCGGCCGGGACTCCTTCCTTCTCCCTACCCCCAGCCCCCTGGCTCCTTGCCTGTGCTGGGCTCCCCGCCCCCGGCTATAAAGTCAGCTTCGCCAGCTTCTTGCCTCCAGAGCGAGGACTGACTGCCAGGACCCGATCATGAACGCAGACGCTGCCCCAGCGCCCATCTTCCAGGCAGGAGAGGACTGCCGGCCCGCTTGGCAAAAGGCGGACGCCGGCTACGATGAGCCCGACACGCACCTGCAGATCCTGGGCAAGCCGGTGATGGAGCGCTGGGAGACCCCCTACATGCACTCGCTGGCCGCCGTGGCCTCCTCCCGAGGTATCCGCCGGGCCCTCCTCTCCCAGGCCGCCCTCGGAGCGGATCCAAGCGGTCAGCTCCCAGGGAAGAGGAGGGGAGCCGGCAGAGAACCCCAGCGATGGGAAGAAGGGAAGGGGAGGGGAAAGAAGGTGCAGGGCAGGGTGTTGGGGGGCAGAATGAAGAGAAAGCTAGATGGGGAGTGCAAGGGCCTGAGTTCAAATCCCAGCCCTGCCCCCTCTCTTTCTGGCTGGGTGACCAGAGCTTGGACTGGCTTAGGACCCTTAATTCCGCTAAATCCAGTGATCACCAACTTTGAGTCTGTAAAAGTTACTTAACCCCAGTAACCTCCCCCATCCCCTTTCCTTATTTGTGGAAAGAGGGGATTGGACTATGGTCACTTCCATCTCCAAATCCCGAAGTGCGAGGACCTTAGGAAGTCCCAGCTAAAAGCGGTTTTAAGCCACAGGCCTGCTTAGCCCATCCTTGTAAAAAAACTTCAGCAGCTGCTTACTGGCTCTGGAGCCAGATTCCAAGTCCTCTCCGCGCAGCCTTCAAAGCCATCTCTAGTCGCGTGGGACAGGCTCTGAGGCAGTCAGGCTGGTCTGCCCCTCTAAAAGAAGCCTTACACCTGCTTCTAAAGCTTCTGAATCTTTACTCTGCTTGGAATCGCCTTGCTTCCTTTTTGGCTTAAAGCCCAGCTGGTGTAAAATCACCTCCTCCAGGAAGCCCTCCCACTCCTTACCCCACCAAGTGACTTGCCCGAGGTCACACAGCTAGTGTCTGAGGCTTCCAATGAACTCAGGTCTTCAGGACTCCATGGGGAGCCCTCCATCCACTGCCCCACTTAGCCACCTCCATGATCCCGTGTATTTTAATGCTCTGGGTTTAGGTCTTCTAGCTCCATAGCAGAAGACAGTGGAACTTATCTAAACTTTTCATTTTTATTTTGTGTATAGGTATATATGCACATATTGTCTCCCCCAATAGAATGTAATCTTGAGGGCAGAGATTGCTTTTTTTTTCTTTCTGTCTTTGTATTCCCAGAACCTAGCAAATGCCTGGCCCTTGGTAGGCACTTAATAAATGCCCACTCCTTGCTCTGTTGAACTTGGTATTTAGAAGGGAGGTGATTTGTCTTATAACATCTTCTATGTAAGAGGCAGAGCCTGGAGAAGGAAAACCTAGGAACAAATGGTACAGACCATGACATTGGGGACCATCCAGGGGTACCCACAGCTGGCCTGCGATACAAGGTCATATTCTTTGTCTTCCTAGAGCCTCTGTGCCTGGTTCTTTATTACAGATTTTGTGAAGATTAATCTTTCTAAAACACTCCAGCTCAAACATCTTCCATGGCTCCCATTGTCTATAAGAAAGAGTTTAAACGCTTATAATCAATCAGTTATGAGCATTTATTAAACACCTACTGTGTGCCAGGCACTATACCAGTAGATGCTGGAGATACAAAAACAAAGCATTCCCTGCCCTTAAGAAGTTTCTATTCTATTAAGAAATATTCTATCTGGGAAATCTACATGTATACAAATAATAGATGTTGTTCGACCTTCGTTTTTTGAAGAGGATTGACAACATTGATGAGGTCTAGAGGTTTAGGGGTGCTGGAACCCCCAAAATCATGTGGGCCCTGCCTGAAAGAGTTGAACCCAAATCTTTTAGCCAGAGAAAGTTTATTAGAGAAATCATACAGGCCAGACTCTTAAGGAATCTGAACATTAGTGATGCCCATAAAGATGGGTGGGTATGAGAAAATCTCAGTGTTTAAATGGGGGCCAGGGTGGATCTTATATACACTCGAGTAATTTTGGGTGGCCAGAGGAGGGGCTGGGCAGAGGATCTGGATGACTGGGGGAGGAGTCCAGAGAGAATTCTGATTGGAATGTCTGGGAGACACTGGGAATAGATAATGAAGGGAACTGGAAGGTTGAGGTTTGGATGGGGTCTGGATAAGATCAAAGGTGGGACTGGGGAGGGGCTTTCAAAGGGAGATAGGGAGAGTCGATTAGGAAAAGACAGGGAGTGGAATATAGCCTATATAGCCTCAGGTAATCATTTGAGACCAGAGTGAAGTTAAGGGTTTTCTGGGGCCCCATAGACAAATGGGAGGCAGATTCTTTTTGGGGCAAGGGTAAAGGTCTCTGCTTGGGCCCATACCTCATCAACATGAGGGAGATGTCTTGACTTGCACATGAATTGGATATAAATGAGGCAGAACTACACCAAGTCATCAGCCTCCTTCTTCCAGAGTCACCAAAGTCCAGTAGCCAGACCCAGGATGTTGCAGTGGGTGACCTTGACCTTTCTAAATTAAGGTCTTTCCTAGGTATCCAGCTGTCTGAGGCCACACCCATTCATTGACTAAGGCTGGGTAAGAGTTGAGATAAAAGATGGCTCAATTTACTATCACAAATATATCTATCTGGGAGGGGAAGACCTGAGTCTCTGGCCTGAACAGAAAACAGTTACTTTTTACACTCATTTGTAAGCCATCAGAGTCTAAACAGTGAGCCACTGAGGCTTGGGTTGGGGCTATTACTGGCCCTTCCATGAAAGCAAGAGTGATTGGGGTTTTAAGGTGGAGTCCCAGAAACTAAACCAGGGTTCTCCTGGTTCTTCTGAGGATCCCCTTGGCTTTACTCGCTGGGGCCGACTTAACATCTGTCTGGGCTTCCCCTTCCTTACTAAGCAAACTCTTTCCCTCATTCCCCCAGCATTGTGAGCTGCATGGTGTTTTATAATGATCTGTGGGTAATTTTTTTTTTTTTGCTTTTTGGTGAGGCAGTGGGGGTTAAGTGACTTGCCCAGGGTTGCACAGCTAGTAAGTGTCATGTGCCTGAGACTGGATTTGAACTCATGTCCTTCTGACTTCAAGGCCAGAATTCTATCCACTGTGCCACCTAGCTAGCTACCCAGGGGGGTAATTTTAATAAAATTAATGAGTCAACGTCAGGTGTAAGGTCCCAGAATTTCCATTTCACAGGTAGAAGAATACCGTCACTGTAATTTATAAAGTCTTCCTGTCCCAGGTCACAGGAATTAGAATTTCTCTTCCAGAGAAGGGGAAGAAGAATAGGGAAGGGAAAGAGCATTTATTAAGCCCTTACTCTGGTGTCAGGCACTGTGCTAAGTGCTTGAAAAACATTATTTCCAGGAGTTACCAATATCAATGAAATCATGGGTCCAGTCCTCAGCCCTTTATCTAATACTTGAAGGTTTATAAAGCACTTTAAATATAATTATCTCATTTGAACCTCCCAACACAATACCATTATTATATCAGTTTTATAGATGAGGAAATAGGCTGAGTGAGGTTAAGTGACTTTTCCAAGTGTATACAATAAGTGTCTGAGGCAGGATTTGAACCCCTGTCTTTCTGACTCTGACTTCAAGTCTTCCATTCTATCCACCATGTGATCAAGCTTCTTTAGAAATAAGAAAAGGGAGGGGCAGCTAGGTGGTACTGTGAATAGAGCACCAGCCCTGGAGACACTAGCTGTATGACCCTGGGCAAGTCACTTAACCCAGACTGCCTCAAAAAAAAGGGGGGGGGGGAAATAAAGGGCTGGAGGTTGGCTGACTTGAGTCATTAAACCCCAGCTTGGAAGACATGTGATTTGGGGCTGGCATGGGGAGGAGAGAAAAATGAAGGAAAAAACATCCAGAATACTAAAGAGAATTAGTAAGAGAAGAGAGGAAAAGAGGACCAAACATTGGCTCCTTCTGGAAACACCACACGGGCATCAATTTTCCAGCACCCAATTCCCACCTACAGTTTCTTTAGGGAAGAATGAAACAAAGATTTATTAAGCACCTACAATGTGCCAGGCACTGTGCAAAGCCCTTTACAAAGTGGGTGCCTGGAAGGCCAGCATCCTAGCTGTGTGGCTTGGACTTTATCCTGGGGGGGGATGGGGAGAGTTGGTGAAATGGGAGTAGAATAAGGGCAGCTCAGGACCTGGGACTGTCATAATTGAGGTGGGACAGACACTGAGCGAAAGCAGAAAGAGAGTGAGGAGGCAGATACTTAACTCTGCGCTCTGTAACAGAAAGAAAAGACATTTCAGAGGCAGTGGGGGGGTGCAGTTGAAAGGGCTCTGCGCCCCAGGAACAGGAAGACCTGAGTTTAAATTTGGCCTCCAACAGGTATTAACTGTGTGACCCTGGTCAAGTCACGTAACCTCTGTCTGCCTCCTTTTCTGTGCTGTAAAATGGAGATAGTAATAGCACCTACTTCCTAGAGTTGTATCAAATGAGAATATAATATAGACACTAAGTAAAATACAAGGGAATTGGGTGGTGGGGGATGCTGGAGGTCAGGAAGAGCCTCATGAAAGAGGGAGTGTTTCAGCTGAGCTTTGAAGAAGGCTTTGGATTGATTCAAGAAAGCAACAGCGAGGAAGGGAAACATTCCAGGTCTGGGAGGAGAGCCTGTATGTACAAGAGAGTGAAGAGATATTGTGCGTGAAGACCTGAGCTCCTTTCAAGCAGGATCAGTTCATTCTTTTTTCTTTTAAAGCCCCACCAGGGCTTAACAATGTGCCTGGCATGTAGTAGGTGTTTATCAATGCTTGTTTATTGATTGATTGAGGGTCAGCAAGTGGGTCCATTTGGCTGGCCCAGGGGTGGGGAACCTGCAGCTGTAAGGCCACATGTGGCCTTTAAGGCCCTTAAGTGCGGCCTTTTGACTGAATCCAAATTTTGTTCTGTAAAATCCAAATTTTGATTCTGTCAAAAGACTGCACTTAAGGACCTAAGAATTTAAGGCCGAAGGTTCCCCATCCCTGGGCTAGACGCAGGGTGCATGCATGAATGGGCGGGGGGCCTGAATAAGTATGCTGGGCTTGGAATGCTGCACAGAGAAGTCTACTTTTGGTCCTAATGATTAGGAAACCACTGGAGGCTTTTGAGTAGGGAAGTGAAGTGATCAGATCTGTGCTTGGCTTAGAGAAAGAGGTGGAGAATTAGGAGGACCGATCAGGGAAACTCCTAAGCACAGCTTTCATGATTTGGCCTCAGTTTACCTCTCTTGCCTTCTATACTAACTGCTCCTTTAC